TTCCTTTAAGAGATCTATTTTGGCAACACAAAATCTAATAAGCGAACCCACGTTTTTCTATTAAAAAACGGGTTCTTTGCAGTTTGTGGATAAACGTCATATCTCATGACCATTGTTCTGATGATAAAATCGTAATTTTTGTATCTTCTTAGGTACATTGTTCGTTGAACCGAATGTTGATAGCTGTTTTTAATAAATTTTTTGATAGGAAGAAATATGATGTCTAATTCTCATGTTTGGAGATACATTTCGAGGTTTGAAAAAATCAACTACGTCCACAAGTAGCTTAAATGTAAGAATAAATTATTGAAATGGAATAATGTATAGCTAAGTAGATGACAGGAATATCTTAGGAAAACGTTGTGAACTGCATCGTGTTTAACCACCAGTAGGTGCGTTTCCATAACGACCGTTAGGGCGGAAGCATGGTCCACGACTCATACAATCCTGTAGGAATTGTTTGATCCTCTTAACGTCCAAATTTTGTTTTTTTCATCATGGGAAAGTATTAACTGCTACTAATAATCTTTTTACAATTCTCTGCTTGATTATCACGTCTTGACGCCAAAGGCAAGGTATACCTGCAGTCGATTCTAATCAGTCACACCGAGGAGATGTGGTAACCAAGGCAAATGTCAATTAGGATAACCTTAAGCTTGACTATTTGGCAGTATGAGACTTTTCAGCCAGATTCCCGGACTTTCTACAGTCCGATCCATAAAAATTTCTGCAAGCGCAAGAAATATTTTTCTCATCCTAAACTTTAAACTTTATGTGCGGAAATCACTTTTTTAACTAGCAGTTTTCAAGCGGAAATACTTGCGCTAATGCCTAACCCATTTATATCAATTTTTTTTTGTAATCTACCTCAAAATTCATAAAACTTAGGCAGCGTAAGCTGTGATCCATTAAGAACTTTGTGCTGAGCGGTTTCTCTACGTGGCAAAGCAATAGTTAAAGTTCTTGCCATATTCATTCTCGAGTTGGGAGCACAAGGGGTTCTGCCAGAAATCAG